AAGCTAATGATATTAATTTAAGCCCAAGTTGAAATTTGCAAAATAGAAAAACAGTGTTATACAGATATGTTAATGTTGATTATGATAACATAATCCTTTAATTAAATAGTGACATTACTTTCTTTTTGAATGAATATCTGTTACCGTCGAATATATCTATGTCATGATTAGTTTGACTTATCTCATTGTAAAGGCGGCACATACGGACGATTGGATTATAAAAGAATATGTTGTTGCGGAAAACTTGCAATGAAAATGTTTTTGGATTACGCGTTCTGTAGGAAATGTTGAAATTTATGGAGGATAAAAAGGATGGTGACTCGATGTCTTATCTCATTGTAAAGGCGGCACATACGGACGATTGGATTATAAAAGGATATGTTGTTGCGGAAAACTTGCAATGAAAATGTTTTTGGATTACGCGTTCTGTAGGAAATGTTGAAATTTATGGAGGATAAAAAGGATGGTGACTCGATGTATAATTTTATTCAAATGGATCAAATCACTTTGCTTTCGTCTATCTTCCAGGGTCGCAACATTAAACCTAGACAATCTCTCGTTGTGAGATCTTAATTTACGAGATAGACCTTGTCGATAGGATATGCAACGCAGGAGCTTCTTTTGTACACCCTCTACTAGTTTGGAATGAGTGTCATAAAAGGGTGACCAAATGACTGATCCATATTCAAGATTACTTCTAACTAAAGAATTGAATAGATAAATGATGCTGCGGGGATTTCTAAATTCTTTAGTGACTCTCAAGACGAAACCCAAAAGGCGAGTTGCTTTGTTGTATATATTATTATAATGTGCTTTGAAGGACATTTCTGAGTCAAAGATTATGCCTAAATCTTTTGCCTGTTCGACACGACTCAGCGGAAGACCGTCAATGTTATAAGTGAAGCTTGTAACATTGATCTTTTTAGTAAATGTCAGCACAAAACACTTGTTTATATTCAAGGTCATTTTATTGTTTCTGCACCATAAGGCGATAGTCTCCAAATCAAGTTGCAGAATTTGAGCATCAGTTTGTTACGGGTTCGGTGCTTGGGTCAATTAATAAGGCTGCTTAGCTTGAGTATATATTTATTAGTTAAATAAGGGTAATAAGAAAAACTGTAACAAACAAAAATAAATTTATAAAAACAGTTCGTAAGTTACTTAACTAATACATACTTATCAAATAAACGAATACACACCCCTTGTCGGGCTTCTAGTTAACTTTTGGAACGTCCAAAATACAGATTACAATTTAGTAGTTACATATGTTATATAATTTGTATCACCATATCACATTATTTATCACAATAAATGAATTATTTTAAAATTACATAGTAAAATTTATACCATTAATATTGTATTGTATTATAATTTCATCTTGTGCATAGGAGAATTTCTTACGAACTGACATCCATAAAGAGTATAATTGATTAGTCAAAATTTTAAATTACGAAAGACGAATAATAAAATGAAATGATGGTGAATTTCAAAAGTAAAAAGTTTGCATACTGAAACCTAGGAAAACAAACGGTGGCATGGCACACCGTTACAATACCGGGGGGGGCCGGGGTTAAAAAAATCTGAAAGATTTTTTTTAGATATTCTTGGATTACTCAAGCTTAAAATAGTTTATATAAAATGTGATTAATTAATGCTATCATGATTTAATTTAGAAATGGGGATGGTATATATAGTGGATAAATTACATTAGGCGATTTCCCTTTCATAAAATGTTCTTACTTCATCATTCAAATATCATTCAAACAATCTTTATCTTATTGAGATAAAAATTCCTAGCAATTAGAGGTAACTTGTATTTAAGAAAGATTATCTCTAATAAATCGACCTAAAAAGTAGTGTAGGCTTCTTTAAAATAATGTCAGTCACCACCCGCTGACTTTAGGTGAATTGTGTAGTGTTGTTGAGTGTAGATGAGTGTGTTGTGTAAGTGTCTAAATGTAGAGTGTAGAATAATATACAATCGTAGTAATAAATAAAGTAGGTAATGCATTAGGTATAACAATACATTATGTAGTGTTAAATAATAAGTAAATAAGTATACATAAGTACACAAAGAAATATTTTGATATTGGCTTATTTATAGTGTTATCAACCGCACTTTAAAATTGATATTTGACATTGGCTTGTTTAAAGTGTTGTCATCCGCACTAAATTGGTATTTTGACATTGGCTTATTTATAGTGTTGTCAACCGCACTAGATGAAAATAATAAATTATGAAGATAATAAAAATAACAATAAGTATGAGTAGCCAAATAATTAAATGAAAACGTTATGAGTATTTACAGGGTACTAACAATAAATAAATAAGTAATCCAAGAATATTTCTCAAGGTCTCCTATCATTGGTAATAAAATTTCACGCAATTGTTGAGCCGTTTGGGTGAATTCAAAATTCACGTTTCGTAATTTCAGTTCATAAATAATTTCTGGTTTATTCAAGTACGATATATCCATGATTAAAATTGATTATTATAAAAGAAATGAATGTCAAATCATAAACGGAAAATAAATTACAATATTCTATTTTTTAAATATTAAAAATAATATTATTCGTCAAAAAGAAATCTCATAAAATTTTTGAAAAAAAATAAAAATAGCTTACGTACCTTTATATATACGGAATCTAAATTAAATTATTTACTATTAAAATTTTCCTATTTTATAACACTATGTTGAGTACGTGTTTGTATGTTCCTCGATACAATGGCATCAGAACCGATCACATTTGTGACCAGCCAAAGTAACACTGAACGTCTATTGTCTGATTATGTGAGTAAATGTGTTTGTGGTGTTGGTCGTAAAGTGTGCACTATTGTCTTCTATTGCAGTAGTCAACCTATTTTTCAACCACGTTGCGGCGCCAGTGTTACGGGTTCGGTGCTTGGGTCAATTAATAAGGCTGCTTAGCTTGTGTATATATTTATTAGTGAAATAAGGGTAATAAGAAAAAACTGTAACAAACAAAAATAAATTTATAAAAACAGTTTGTAAGTTACTTAACTAATACATACTTATCAAATAAAACGAATACATACCCCTTGTCGGGCTTCTAGTTAACTTTTGGAACGTCCAAAATACAGATTACAATTCAGTAGTTACATATGTTATATAAAAAATGTTACGGGTTATAGTGTTACGGGTTCGGAGCTTGGGTCAATTAATAAGGCTGCTTAGCTTGAGTATATATTTATTAGTTAAATAAGGGTAATAAGAAAAAACTGTAACAAACAAAAATAAATTTATAAAAACAGTTCGTAAGTTACTTAACTAATACATACTTATCAAATAAAACGAATACATACCCCTTGTCGGGCTTCTAGTTAACTTTTGGAACGTCCAAAATACAGATTACAATTCAGTAGTTACATATGTTATATAATTTGTATCACCATATCACATTATTTATCACAATAAATGAATTATTTTAAAATTACATAGTAAAATTTATACCATTAATATTGTATTGTATTATAATTTCATCTTGTGCATAGGAGAATTTCTTACGAACTGACATCCATAAAGAGTATAATTGATTAGTCAAAATTTTAAATTACGAAAGACGAATAATAAAATGAAATGATGGTGAATTTCAAAAGTAAAAAGTTTGCATACTGAAACCTAGGAAAACAAACGGTGGCATGGCACACCGTTACAAGTTGTGTTTTTAATGGCTGAGAATACCTTTAAATCATCTGCGTATAACAAAGAGGGACAATTTAAGCTTTTTATAAGGTCATTGATACATATAATAAATAAGAGAGGGCCAAGGTGCGAGCCCTGTGGGACGCCAGAAGTTATTGTAATAGGTGCAGAAACTTCAGCTTTTAGTGCAACCAGCTGAGTCCTGCGAGTTAGATATGACTCCATCCATCGCAACAACGAACCGTGTATACCCACCGACTGCAATTTTAAAGATAGTATATAATGGTCGACCCTGTCGAAGGCCTTTGAGAAATCTGTATAAATTGAATCTACTTGTATATTTTTAGCAAAAGATTGGCACAAATAATTTTTATATTCCAAAAGATTGCTGATTGTTGACCTATTTTTAACGAAACCGTGTTGATTCGGAGATATGAGAGGCTGTATGTGAGAATATAGGATATCATATACTAAAGACTCCTGTACTTTTGCAAGACAAGACAGAATGCTAATGGGTCTGTAATTCTCACAATTCGATCTATCGCCAGCTTTGAAAACAGGGACAATATATGCAGTCTTCCATAAGTCCGGAAAAACTCCCGTTCGCAGAGACTGATTGAAAATAATGGACAATGGGAAAGAGAGTGCCACAGCGCAATTCTTAATGATATAAGGCGATATACCGTCTGGTCCACTACCCCTATTAATGTCCAACTTTTTAAGTTTTTTTAGTATATCGTTTTCTAATAAAGATACTATTGATAGACTATTGCTCGATTCAAATATATTGTTATCCAGAGTAAAGTTTTTAGAAACAGCTTTTTCAAAGACAGAACTGAAATACTGCGAGAATAATTCACAAATGCCTTTAGGATTAGACGATTGATGATCATTATATTTCATAGTTTTAGGTATGGAGTATATCACATTGCGGTTGCTGTTAACGTAACTCCAAAAATACTTAAAATTATTATTATGCAATTCATTTTCTACAGATGCTACGTATTTCTTATGATAGTTATAAAATATATATTGAGTTTTGAAAACTAATTTACTTTTAAACTTGAAAGAAAACCGGAAAGGTTGTCATGGAGAAATCAAAATCGTACCGTAGCGACATCTAGTTGTATTTCAGGAAAAAAATTTTTTTTTATAGTTCCTTATTGAATCAGTCCGATTCGAGGGGTTCAGGTATCGATTCAAGAATCGATGTAGCATTCCAAATCGGTCTAAAAAATGGATTATTTTACTTTAAATAATCGATTTTCCAATTAATCGATTTCAGATCGACATGCCTACTTCTTTTTTAGTCTGATTACTGTACTCTTTGCTCTGTGCCAATAGTGCTTTTCAAATATTACAATTTTATTGCTGCTTTTTCTCAAAGAATAATATTTAAGTATTATAATTAGTTTTTCGATGCGTTGTTTGTTAAGTTTGTCTAAAAATAATTACTTGGAAGTGATAAGACGTTGTAAATATGGTTAAGTTCGGTAAGAGTAAGTTAAAAACTCTTAATAAGTTAGCAAAGAAACAGAACGTGGTGAATACAACAGCAACAGTCTCTAATAAAATTCTAAAGAAGAAAGTTAATGCAGATAGAAGAGTAACTTTCCAAAAGGAAGTATTGTTTAAAGAAGCAGTCAGTGATAATTCTCTAGTTAAAAACGTGACCAAGAAGGACTTATTACTCGATGAATTGCTAAAGAAAATCTCAAAACCACAAAACACGAAAAAGATGGTAGAAGCGGTCCACAAACCAAAACTAAAACCTGTTAAGAAGCAAAAACAACGCCAGAAAATACAAATTGATGATACGAAATTATTGTTAAATTTAATTAAGAAAAAGTAAAGAGTTTATGTTTCAGACATTTTGTGGATAACATAACCTAACCCTAATATTTGTTATCATAAATAACTATTGGTTAGAATATAATAGGTATAGATTACAATTAAGTCTAAAACTTACACTTAAAACATGATTATTGCACCACTTAGAATTTTACTCATGCTTTGCTATTGTGTAATAAAATCAGCTTCAAAATTGACACCAAGCACACAGTTACCACATAGATGTAATTAAATAAAACCATTACTACCATTTGGAGTAGGTTTAATTTGATCGAAGCTCTTATTATTTGACAGGGCTGTGCTCAAAGTGGAGTTCGTGGTTGATTTTATTTCACAATAGCACTGTTGTAACTGTTAATTCTGTTCAAATAATAAATGAAAATAAAACATTAGCAAAAAAAATATTGATTCAAAAGTTCTTTTAACTCAACACACTAAGGTAAATGTACATCATTGTGGGTTAGACTAGATCCATATTCAGAGAAAATAAGATATGTTTTAAATACAACAACCCGAGGACTTTCTATAGTGATGGGATCATGTTACTGAATTTTGTAGGGAGCAGAAGAAACAATGCTACACTCTGTCAGAATATGATAAATTCTATATTAGAACCTTTATCACATATACTTTGCTACAGTTAAATATACACTAATATTAGAATCATCTATCTAACGAAGATCATATGATGAATGAATTAAAAACCAAAGCAATGGCCAACCATAATAAAGTTGAGATACAGGTAGGTGGCAAGGAAATTGAATATGTTGATGAATATATCTATCTTGGCCAAATAATATTTCCAATGGGTCACATGAGCAAAGAGGTGGAAAGGAGAGTGGCAAGCAGCTGGTTATGATTATAGCCACTTAGAGACGTATTCAAAAGTAAGAGCCTACATAAAGAAGACAAAAAAAAAACAATATAATTAACAAATGGATGTCAAACTTGAATCTGTGTAATAAACAAAATATTCAGAAAATTAAAGTGTGTCTACAATCAATGGAATGAAGTATGTTACACCTGAAAAGACAGATGGATACTCAAGAATTAGATGGATCACATGTGTACTTATGTACTATTTTGTAGGTAGGGACATGAACCTATTGCTATAGAAATTTTGGAGCTTTTGATAAAAAAAACCACGACAAGTGGTTTTGGCCGTCCTCATGTGATGTTAACTGATGCACCGATAACCTTCACGAACATAATTTAAATAAAATTATAAGAACAAGTTGAAATTTCGTTAGGGGACAAATGGAATAGGGCCTCAGTTGTCATTATAATTCGCACGAGTTTAATAGATTTTAATTTCGAGCTTGCAAGTGTATCTTAATATTAATGCACGTAAATGACTACTAGTAATTGTGACTACGTTTTCGCCTTTTATGTACTTGTTTACCTACTTGTTATTGATTAAAAAAAATTCATCTTTTTTAAATTTTATACCTAAGGTAAAAAGAGGGAAATAAGATTATACCTATTGATTTTAAAAATATCAGCGTTTCTTTTGTTGTCTCTACTTCCTTCCGACGCCAAACTTATTTGAAATACCACATTGAAACAACCTACGGTTTTGAAATAAAGATGAATTGTCTAGAAGGGCCAAAGCAGATTATAAAGGTGCAAATCATAAATTTATGGGACGAACGACAGACGAAACTTTCGTAACGCCTTTTTTTCTTTAAATTTTGGCCTTTTTTCGTTATACACAGAAATGCTGCCAATGGTTGATAATATTAGTGACAGAAGAGGGATGACGGCTAATTTTTATTTGTTTGTCCGTCATTTTTTTTTACTTTTTCCTAATCATTAGATTACGGCAATACATCGAGTTAAAATGTCACATGACGTCGTCAGGTTTTTATACATTTTCTACAAAACTGTGATGTAGCGAGCCTCCACTCCTCAGCTATAATGCTTGTTATCTAAGCTATTGAAGTAAAAAAAGTATCTAATTATCTATATCATTTTTATATCTTACTCAAGGACTAAATAGAATTTCTTTTTTTACTCAGTCGTCATACCTATTTGGCAGGAATTACATATTCGACTTTGAGCCATAATTATTCAGATTATAGATTTTATCTCACTAAAAGAGTATTTGGTCACAAAAATATGAAATTAAATTATTCGCTTGGAATATCAGAGCGATAAAATACTTTGTAATTTACTCCACTTTTTACTACTCTAACCCAGAGCACTAAATACTTGCAGAATATCGAAAGATTCATAGTCCGTACGAATAAATGACCTAACGTTTTAAAAGAATAAGCTTGTGAAGTGGTGAAGATAAAAGCATGGCACTGACAATTAACGTTAGCCCAGCAGCGTCACACTAATACTTATTTCTACAACGCCATAACTAAAAAAACTTATTTACTTTAGCCATTCATGGACGCTATGTTCCAAACTGATAAATTCATTGTAGAGTGCCAGCTTTGGCGCTGCCAGAATGAGGTCAGCCCAGCAGCGCCACAAAGACCTATCGTTTGTCTCCAATACTATGTAACTTGACCATTTGTCCCTAATTCGTAACGGAGTGATAAATAAGGGACTAGATGGTTTAAAAACTCATTTCAAAATCCAAAAGGGTGACGCTGCCAGACAGAAGTCCGGCAAACGAAAGTGAGATGAACATTGGTGCGGCAAAACTGTAATGCGAATAACTAGTCCGAATGTATGCAAATGTTATAAACTGAAGTTCGACAGCATTTTGACCGACAAACGAATGTGCGATAATAGTTCCACATTGCGCTAACGCAACAAAAGTTTTCTTAAAAATAAAACCAACAATTGACCAATAATATTTATTATATTTACTGACAAAAATGAATTACAATTAATCCAAATAATATCCTAAAAAGTATGGTATCTACCTAAGTAGTAAATTAATAGATACTGAGTACCGATAGGAATTATCAAATCTAAAAATCTTAGAACTACTCTCTAACCAATTAATTTTATATTAAATCGTCATAGTAATGTGATTAATTGTGCACTCAATATATTTACAGTACCCTTATTAAAACACATTGGTATTTTACTTATACTTCAAGAAAACTAATATAAGCAATTATAAGCATAACACATTCGCAACAAAGGTTTTAATAGAATATAAATCAGATAAGTAATTAACTGAACAACCCATGTAGTTGATAGAGGGTCTTAAAAAAGTTTGATTGTTTACATATGTACATAGTCAAACTAATTTAATTTTTTTGAGTTGATTTTTCAATTATGACAAATAAAGTGCTGAATTTCACAAAAAAAAAAATACTGTAAAATATAAAATCCAATTTGTAAAAGTTTTAAATAAAGCTTTCAGTGCTCATATAGAATGAAAAATATAACATTTATGAATATATATTATTTATCACGAGGCCTAAAAATTATATTACATTTTAATATCTTCTTTTAAAAATATTTGCCAAATCTTAGTCTCTCCCTCTTTCAAATACTTGCGTCGTTTATAAAGTTTGAAATAAGAAACTTGCTTCTGACGTTTAAGAACAGGTACTACTTGTTATACATACATAAAGAAAACTACTTGTTCCATATTAATTTATTTTAGAAATATCTTAAATTTTAATTATAAATATGTGATTTCATGTTATTTTTCTATTTACCCATATAACTAAGATGGGATTTCATTAAATCTAACGAAAATCATTAAATTTACATAACCGTATATGTTATGTAGTATAAAATTCATATTATGTACTTTACTGAGATTTTTTTAAGAATAGATGAATGATTGTAGTTGTCGTCTTGTAAGACACTTTAAACAATATAATAAACAAAAATCAAACATGTAAATATAATTTACTTTTGTAAATAATCATTTTTTGATCGTAGTCTCGGCAGTAGTCTGCATATATATAATAACGACAATTTAAATTGTATTACGTCGGATTACTAATTAAAATATCAATTATTATTATTTATAGATGACTAAAAATCTCGTCATCTAATTTGGCGGCGGAGGCTAGTCTTGAGCTGGTTGATTTAATAATGGACAACAAGTAATATAGATGTAAATACAAAGTTGATCTAATAAAAAAAATAAAAACAAACAAAATATGTCCTATCCTATGAATCTGAGATACATTTAAAATAAAATTAACTTTTATATCAATTAATGTTGATTGAAATGTATTTAAAAATATATTCTGCCATCCCCTTTCCAAACATTTTGCCTATTCATGTTTTAATATTTAAAGAATCTAATTACTGATAATGAGTCATGCAAAAAACAAATTTTAGATGGTTTGCTTTTAACAATTTTTATGTCATCTTACCTATTTTGGTTGGTAGACGTACAAGAAGCGTGTATTTCGTAACTATTTAAATCTATTTTATGTAAATGTTATGCAACTTCAAATTTTATTATAAAATAAATGCACCTATTATGTTTCAAATGGTTTATAAATTTATAAGCTGAAACTAAAAAACAAGTGTTGTATTTATTTCACAACAATACAGGTTTATGTGTTAACAGATTTTGTCAGTTTTTTAACAAACAAACGACATATCGAATGTACCATAAACTTTTACTGTAAAACTTCCCGAAAGCTTTCTATGTAATCTAAATCAACCATATCAATACATCTTTAAGCTCCAAACCAATTTTTAAAAACATTGATGAATATTCAGCAAAACGCCTATTTTGAGGAAATATACGTGTTAAACAACCCTCAACAAATGTTTATATTTTAAATAATATTCAATCAATGTTTAGCCCTAACCGAAGCTTAAATACGATTTCGTAATAACACTGAAAATGTTTACTATTTCAGAAGGTACAAAGGTCAACGTACGAAATAGAGATGACGACTGGATAAAAAAAAAGAAATTCTATTTAGTCTGTCTGTCAGATTATAGAAAAATATTACATACGTATTTTTTTGTTTCAATTTAAACAAGAAATGGGTTAGATAATAAGCATCAAAGTTCAGGAATTCGCACTACGTCACAGTTTTATAGATAATACAAAAGAGTGATGTCATGCTACATTTCAACTCTATCGCCATAATTAAGTAATTATGTGCTTAATTTTCTTTAATCTACCTGACGGAAAAACAAATAAAAATCAGTCATCATCCCCATTCTATCTGTCCGGCGACCGTGCTAGTGTTGTGAATAGGGCGAGTGCAAGTTCAGTACCGGCCGCGAGCGCGCGCACGTCCCCGTCCGCGTGCGCGCGGCGAGTTGGCGGCGCGCGTGCGCGGCGTGCCCACCGGCTTCTGCTCCGGCTCCGGTTCCGGTTTCGGCTCGGGCTCCGGCTCCGGCTCCGGCTCCGGCTCCGGCTCTGGGGCCGGTTCAGACTTTTCCTCGGCGACAGACTCGTTCGCTGACCGACAATATCATACGTAAATATACAATCGCAAACTTAAATATATACTTCTATATTTATAATATTGTTATGGAAAATGACATCATATTTTAATGAAGTCATTTTTCAATCTTGACGACTCTGTATGGAATAAAACTTCTCGGTTCAAGGTCTCCTGAAAGTTTCGACTTTCACAAATGCTCTGTAACAGCCTAAACTGAATAAATGATTTTGATTTGCACAAAAAAAAAATCTTGACTCAATAGAACGTTTATACATATAAATATTTTTAATTTCATGTTTAAAGTGAGATTTATCAGCATTTTTATATTTATTTGGTTAAAGTTAAGAGACAATATTAGCAAAAATCAGTGAGTTAGTATCGGTTTATATACAGATGGAAACACTATACTACTAACCGTTATTCTGTTCATCTTCAACTATCTCGTCGATGGTCTGCTCCCAGTCCTCGAGTTCATCGGAGGGCGGCATCTCCACGTCTGCCTCCGCGTCCTGCTCGCTGCGGGGCTCCTCTGTTCATGATACAAATTATTTCATTTAGTTTTCCTTAGCATCAATACTTCCAGTTCAATGTTTAGACATTGAAATCATAGAATAAATACGATATTGAACTTCAAATTAATAACTTTAAAAATTTACGCGTGAAAACCGCCCAAACGTTGTTACATTAAATATATCGCTCACCTTTCATAGTAACATCTTCGTGTCCATTGTGGTCGTCGTGGTCGTCATGTTCGTTGTCACTGTCAGATGTCTTGCGTCTCTTCCAGTTGCCGTCCTCCTCACTAGCAGCGGAACGTTTCGCAGTGTCTTGAGTTTGTTCCTAAATAAACATACTCATTATTAAATATTTGCATTATTTAATCTACAACTTATCTAAAATAGACTAAGCAAAGGTATAGGAAGGCTAAAAAGATAGATAAACCCCTTTCGCTCTCTATCCAATAAAATACCGTATCCTTTACTGTAGAATTGAAAAAAGATAAACAAATATCAACACTAATATTACAATATAAAAAAAGAAAATTTAGATTTTTGTTTAAATCTAAAAAACTAGAGGTCTTTTGATATTCCACTCCACGCTGGCCCAATGCGGATTGGAGGATATTAACGACTGCAAATGCAGCCGGGACCAACGGCTTAACGTGCCTTCCGAAGCACGGAGTACCTCGAGATAATAATTTTGTGGTCACCCATCCCGTGACCGACCCTTGCGAAAGTTGCTTAACAACTACGATCGCGGGCCGCGGCTCATATCCACTACGCCACCGAGCTACTCTACTAGTACTCTTAGTATAGGCAAAAAGTCGGTACTTTGCTACTCGAGCAAAAGAATCGCTCGCATAATGCAGATTTGGTGTCTATGGTGTGGCATACGCGTGGCGTACCTGCTGGCTGGGCCTGCAGCGGTCCGCCAGCAGGCGCAGGAACAGCTGGTGGTGGCGCCAGGTGCGCAGGTGCACGGCGGCGGTCTCGTCCGAGTCGAGCAGCTTGCGGCACAGCCCGCACTGCACGCACTTGAACTCGGACAAGAAGGACGCGCCCACGCCGCGCTCCGTACTGTTATACAATACGCTAGTTGACTACTTTTTTTATATTTATAAATAAATCATCATCATCATCATCATCACCAGCCCATTTACGTCCCCACTGCAGGGGCTCAGGCCTTCCTTATGGATGGTTAAGGAGGATGGGCCATGACCCTCCATGCTGGCCCAATGCGGATTGGAGGGTATAAATAAATAATCCATTATCTGATATTAATGGATTATTTATTTATACCCTCTAATCCGTACAAAACTAGATATTTATTAATAATATTTTTATTCTATGACGTAACTAATTCTTTATTTGCGCTATAAGATGTTACTTGGCACCAAATTTCAAGATTCGAAGTTAACGGGAAGTACCATGTAGGTTTCGATTCCCTTGCGAGTTATGAAAATTTGCAGCATAAACGGGTGTATCTTCTAATTGCGTTGGCTTTTGTTTGATTTTTTCAATTCCAAGGGTCATGACAGACGGACAGACAACAAATTGGTCCTTTAACATATCTCACTTATGCGCATACATGTTACTATTTTGCTTGATGATTACAGATGCATCATTTTGTCATAGTAAGGTGAACTTAAAATGTGTTTGTTTTTGATGACCGGGCTATAACTCCATATTAGTTTTGCCATCGCCTAACTCTTAAGCAGAAATGTGTTTATATAAGGAAAACAAAAAGAATGTGATAGAAACTTTGTTAAAATTTTTTGAATGTTATTCATTTCCATTTGAATCCAAACATTTGCAATGTAATTACAAACATGATGTTAGACAGTGTTTTACCATGTTTACTGAACCATGTTTACAATGATATGTAGCTTTCTATAATACAAATCCATTATGAAAAATTATAGGTAGGCTGGTAACTAATTGTGATTGAGAAAAATATTACTGATTGCCACAAATAAATATGTTTTCCCTACCTATCAATACTAAACTGTGTATGAACACAACTGACCTGTAAGCTGGATACATATCACGCGTGACGTTGGTGAGGTCATCGCCCTCCTTGTAATCAAGTATAGTCTTCTCAGAGTCCAAACCCTCCTCTTGCTTTACTACCACTTCGCCTTCTTTAGGCTCCTCGCCATCTTGTTGCTCCTTCTGCCCTTCACTCTCATTCTAAAACGAAAGGATTAGATGGGCATTGTGTTTATTATTTATTATTATAATTAGGGATACCACCCAATTTCATTTAATTATCACATTGCATAATTTATATTTTATAGTTCAATTATGAGTATCAGATATCTACTTATAAAATCATTCTTAAAACTGGAAAAGAAATTCCAGCAAGAACTTGGTAGAGATTATTATTTATCACCAACCAGTACATAATCCACAAACTAATTTTGTTTATATATTGTAGATATCTATATCACTAGCCTATTAGTGTACCCACTGTTGGGGCCCCAGCTTCCCTATGGATGGAATTGTATAGGCAGAACGGTGGGTATTATCGACTGCAGATGCAACCGGGATCACGGGAACTGCGACGTGGCTTCCGGAGCAAGTATAACTCAATATAAATTTGTGGTTATCCATCCTTTGTGAAAGATGCTTAACAACCGTTATCACAGACCGAGCGCGCTAACTGCGCCATCGAGCCCATTTTTTATTCATTAACAAATATTTAAACTTTAAATATACTCTTATAGTCTAAAGTACACGTTTTTATATATGTATAAAAAAAAGGCCTACCTTCTGTTGATTTTCCCCATCCTTGTTCCTGTCACCCTTCTTGTCGTCATGGTGATCACCATGGCGCCAGCGGTGACGATCATCGCGTAAGTACGATTGCTCCATGGATAGAGTCGATATCACCATCACTAAAAAAAAATTACTTCATAAATATTATGCAAATGACGAAGCTGGCGTTCTGACACTTTTAGATGATAAACTTTGCAAATTTTCTTTCAACGATACACATACACACTTACATCTCGCAAGAATCGAGTGAAACTTTACTACTAATTCTAGGTTACACATTAGATAGAGATTGATGTAGACCACCAGTAAATGGTTTTATACAAAGTTCAAATTACTGAAGTGAATTGGGCAAAGGCACAATAGAAAAAGAAAACGGAGTAGAAATAAATCCAAGTCAGTGTAGGTTTTTAATAAGAATTAAAGACACTCTACCCACTGTATGGGGAAAAACAGCAAAGACATATATGAACGGGCCAAGCTAAGGAAAGGCTTTGTGAATGGACAGTCACAATGGCCAACATTAACAAGTAATCTCTTCAACCTTATTCAGCATTTTAGTGTCCTTACCTTCCGGTTTAGGCTTGGAGACAGTGCCTTGCTTATCCTGCAAGTTCCTCAGATGTTCCGGGGTGAGCCTATGCTCGTCCAACTCGATTCTATTAGGCATTTCCATATGACAGGAGGTGCATGTTGGATGCAGGTATTTCTTGAGCTTACGATGACCAACATTAGTGCGGTGAACAGCTCCATCGGCTGCATACATGTCGCACATAGCGCAATAGAAGTCGCGCGCCGGTTGCTGCCCAGTTTTGCGAGTGCGTTTCATCTCACGGATCTGTATAAGGAATGTTACCTATTTAGTATCAAATAATTTAGGCAATTATTGTAAACTTGTTTTAGGTAAAAGTCTAATGAAATGACTATACTTTGCGATTGAAATATTATAATAATTATATTAAACATATTAATACACATAAATAATATAGGATAATATGTTAAAACTGTTTTAAAATAATATTAATACATGTCATTATCTCTAAGTTATAATGGTAACATTTGTAAATCGGAAGCACATCCGCCATCTTGAATTTAGACAATAAAAGCTAAATGACGGATGTGCACAGGATCAGTTGGTTTTGTAAGCATCGACAGATGATTGATGTCTGTGGTTATTCAAAGAAGTATATGATATTAAAATCAGTTGTTATCACAAAGATAGTTCTTAAATCAAGTTCTCCAAATTATATTATACACACAGATTAATTAATGGGCCCTTTCCGTAGTAATTAGTTCAAAAAGAGAACTGTGGTCAGCAAAGGAACTAACGTTAAGATTTTTTATGGCACACCCAATCACCTCCTGCCTTACTTAAATATACTCTCTCAATAAGGAAAATAACAAACTTTATGCTTCTTATTTTAATAATTGAAAATATTTTTTTATTAGTAATTTACAGTTTTCCTAATATTGCCATATACTGGGAGGTGTTTAAGAAAAAAATATACAATTATATTTGGCCAATTTTGCATTCCCAATGCTACACTGAAAAATATTCTTAATGAAAAATGCTTAAAAAATCCACTTTGTCCCTGTCCTCTCGCAATCTGGATGACTGTTTTAACCACTGAGCTACCCAGAACCTAAAAAAACTGACAACTCTTGTCACGTTTTGCTACTACAGAAGTTATTTAAATCAATGTTCAGGCAAGCAGCCGAAAAAAATATTAAAAATTTTGATAAAGATGAAAATTTTTTCTAATTATTATATTTGATAAATTTCTCATTCACAGTTCTATACTGACAAATATTTTCTATGTCATTCATATAGACACCATCCACCAGTGCAACAATTTGATATATTTGTTGTGAATATAATATTATAAAATTTGTAAAAATGCAGTTATGCCGTTTTAGCGGTCTTCTCGAACTTCTTGAATTTGAGACGCGTGTGGGCTATTGCCACAAATATTAAATAAATTGTTCCTATGAAGTCTTAATGGCTAAATATTATCTAATTATAAATAAACTGGTTTCTGGTAATTTATGGCATTATAAATATTACTCTAATGTGCAGTAGCCTAGTGAGAAATATGAGGTTTATATAATTTTTTTATGTGTGATGAAGTTGTGATGACCATGATTTGATTTGTTTACATAAATTCTTCAACGAATTTGGCTGGAGTATAGTTAAATGATGTTCACACATAGCACCCATCACAGTTTTTTACAAAAATAGTTTACCTATATATTTTTTAGTTTAATAGGTCTCAAAAATAATGTTGTTAATATTTATTATTTAATTAGAAGGGCAAATCATTTTATAAAATATACATAAATTCAGATTAAATTATTAAAACTTAAATTAAATTAAAATCAAATAATGTTTAATAAGTTCAAATCAATTATAATTGTATATAAGAACCCAATCTTGGAACAGTTGATTTCATTAATTCTGTGTGAGTAAGATTAATAAAATATATATATCCTATTAATATTATAAATGTGAAAGTTTCTTTGTTTGGATGTTTGTCGGTCAATCACGTCGAAACTACTGAATGGATTTTGATGAAATTTGGTATACAGATAGGGTATTAGTATTACTGACTTAAATAGACTACTTTTTATCCCACTTAACATTTCCCTAGGGTCCAGGCGGGTGAAGCCGCTGGCGAAAGCTAGTTCTAATGACATATACATATATCATTATCCTATATAATATTATTTCGATAGGTATATTGCATCCGATAGCAAGAAGAGGTTGGCAAAATCCGAATTTTAGTTGTAATACCATGCCTTTAAAAGAAACATGATTGGCTAAATTACTAGATAATGTGTATTTGTGTTTAAAAAACTCTCACCTTAAATTCTTGACGCATGGTGTCAGCAGTGAGAGCATAACTCTCAGCAGTCTTCTGCATCATTATAGCATGTGCACGACCACTCAAATGGTTTTCAAATGACCGTCCGTCCCACATGCTCTTATTGCAAATGTGGCATTTCAACAGCTGTGGATTGATGTCATCATAACGTGTCTTAGGAGCTTCCTTCTTCTCTTTCTCCTCTTCTCTGGTCTCAGTCTGCTCAGATGTCTCTTGCTCACCATTCTTCTCCTCTTGTTCACTGTTATATACTCAGTTGATTAGAGGTTTAAATAGATATGGGTTTGCAGTTTAATTTTTTTCATACTTATAAATAGTCATCATTGACTATGGCATTAAAACTCTCAAAACATGTAGTAAAACATCACTGAATAGTGAAAATATTGCATCCAATAGTTGTCAGAGAATAACTCGAGAGTTTTGAAGCACAAAAATCATAGAGAGTTTTGATTTTCTTTAATAAGTGGACATTTAGCACAAAGTTGACTTGATTTCATAACGAATTCATGGTGATTTGTAAGATTGCATTATAGACATAAGAAAACTTCATATTGTGACAAAGATTATAATCAATCAAAACTGCTAAGGTGAGATGTAAATAAAATTTGCTTCCAAATTTTCTAATATAAAGATTTCATGTGTTGCTTGACCCAGCCATAGAAATGGCTACGAAGACGAGTCTTGATTTTTTCATAATCTTATGTCGTTACCTTTTTAAAGGCGAATAGTATGCCAATTAGGCTAAACAGTAAATAAGGCCGGTGAACGTATGTGATAATGATATTATATAGAATTTGTATAGGGTTAGGTCACTACCAGTGACCATAGAAAAATGGTGTCACCACCGGAAGGAAATCACCTCAGGGTCCTTACCTCTCTTTGACAGGCTTAGCCTTAGAATCGGCATCCTTTTTCGGGGAGCTCTTGTTTTGTTGCCTTTGCCCATCATTGGGCCTGAATGGCTTACGATTGGTGTTGATACGCTCACCAGCACGATTGTAATTTCCCGTACGCCGGAAATTACCCTGATTGCCCATCTAAAGGGAATTGACCAGAATACAGTGTTAGTTTGAAAATGGTGTGGCCTCATGCCCTCTAAACATCACTGAAAATAACAGTTGAAGTATAACAATGAGGCATGACTGTGTAACTCACATAAGAGTTTGACATGCGTAACCTGATCACATGCCAAAGAAAACTTTCAGTAAAAACTGTAAAAAACATGCAATGAGAATAACAAAAGAATAAAATTATTATGCCTATTTAATGGTATTATTTAGATTAGAAATATAACCAAACATCAGAAAGAATTGATTTGAATTGCAAAAATAAATAAAACAATATTGTTAACTGAATTTTCTTCTTATATTATACTAAAATATATTACTTACCCTATTGGGTCCATAGGGACGATCAAAGCGACCCATACTAGGACCAAAGTCTCTCCTTATGGGCATGTCGAGTAGGGAAGGGACAGGATTTTGGCGTGGTTGCAAAAGGTTGATGATGTTACTGGCTAACGCTAAGGTAGCCTCGGTGGAGCCCCCAGCGAGGGGTAAGAGGTTTGGCAAGCCGCCACCGGGGCCACCACCTTGCCACGGCGACACGCCCCCACGGGTGAAGTTCTTGTTCCGATCGTTGCGATTGAATTCCATACGACGTCCACCAGTTTGAGGTCTTCGATTAGCCATTTTCTAAATAAAAAAAGAGTTTTTACTAAGTTTGACAAAAAATTATATGCAATTACAGTTCCGGTGTACTTGAACAGTTATCTATTTTATTAGTGGTAATTTTATTTGTTAGAAATTGTTTAGAACGAGTTTCACTTAATGCTTTAAACATAATAAGTCTTTTGCCTAAAGTACATGGGATTATTGATTTTGTTTGGGTTCGTGGTACATTTTGTCTGGATGTAATCGATAGTTTTCGCTAACTCATGAACAGAGATTCGAGAAATAAATACTAATTCAACTTACGTTGTTTCAAATGAACAATAGTAGACAGATAAATGATTGTCACTTATTATTTATTACTGAACAGTAAAATAAGACGAAGTTTTCGCTTTACACGAATGCAAGTAAAAGGGACGCGGCAACCAAGCGTCAACTCAATGAAGAATCAAAATGGCTGACAAGAAACTAGGGATGCAGACAATACGATGACCGATGTGTCTAAAACATAAAACAATACTCGATATAACAAAAAAAAGTTTGAAACTAAACCTGACTACAGCTAACACGCTCTAAAAAGTTTGAAACAAGAAAGGAGTATATTTTTTTGGTACTTTATTCCGAAAAAAAATCTAACCACTATAAAGAAAATTATCATAGCACCTAGACCCAATTCTCTATCTTTCATCAAAATTTTATGTTAATTGGTCACTTTCAGGATTTGCCTGTTTTGTGTATTACCTCAAAGCACCTTTTTATAACTTAGCGGCCCTAGTTAACGAATCATATAATAATATTGTGAAAATCAAATTAATAATTTGTAAACTATGTATTTATTATAATATGATACGAACCGAATAGACTCAAATCAAGCCTAATCTGCGTCGACGAGCTTCCATTCGTTTAAAATATCTCTGTATTTGACATTTAAATGTCATTATTTTTATTTGCTATTAATTATTGATATTTTAGATCAATAATTAATAGCAAATAAAAATAATGATTCTGCTTTGTCCAAATAGATTAATTCACAGCATGAATTGGAATGTAACTTAGGGATGGGGTTGCCATAGTTTTTCTAAATGCACTTATGTTACATAAATTATAAAATATTCACTGAATGATGTTCCAATCAGAAAATAAACATTTTGGAGGCCCCTTAAAATAAAATAAAGTGATCACATGTAAGGTATATTTACCCTCTATCGATTTATATATACTTTATGCTTAGTTAGAGATAATTTGAATAAAGTTCCAACCTCCATACAAAAAAGTTCTCCTTTATCTTATAGCGACAGCTATATTATAATAGTGATGGCCAAAGGAAAGCCATATAGTATTAAGTCCATGTGTAGAGTCAGTATTGCTATGGATGTAATAAATAGCCCTGAAAAACATCGAGTTGAAATTAAATTATGCAAACGCAACTCGATTTAGTACGATAAACGAAGCTTTACTTTTTCTATTTGTACTAAGGAATATGAAAACTAATTTAATGTCAAGGTTTTTTAAAAGCTATGGAAATCTATAGAATGTTGCTGTGAAATTATAAAAAGTAATTTTGTGGCACCACTCTGTGGCAACGTAATCTGTGACATTTGTAATAGAGTACTTTTGTTCTGTGTTTGTAATGGGCTACGGCAATGTGTGTATATTGGGTCGCCTAATTTTTTTGTATTCCTAATTGGCTTTGGCACGTAAACGGTCACCCTAATTTTTTTTCGCACAATTTTAATATTCCTAATGGTGTTTAATCTAATATCATTTCGCGTAACTTTTTATTGCCGTATTGTAACTTACCAAATGTGACATTAGGCGGAACAATCTGTTATCCCAACTCCTCGCAATTACTAAATAGAGTCTGGCAAGCGAAACGTGTCACAAGAAAAGGGCGGCAATTTCAAAAATTCTTAAGCAGTAAACACTGAATGTAGTACTGCAAAATAATTTTGATACTTTTATTAATTATATTTAATCTTAACATTTAGATATCAATTAAAATTATTTGTTTTGGAACATTTGACTAAAGCGTGACTGTTCTTAATTGTACAGTTAACAGCATATCAGTAGGCCTATTCACTAACTCAACTGACAACCAAGAATCGTCATCACCGTAAAAAATAGACACTTTGATTGTGTCAAAATCACTATTTCGTATTCTCTATCAATGATGAGCAATTTCGAAATGTCAATATCGGCATTCTCCACTGGACTCCATTTTGACACTTGATTTCGTATCGATAAACTGTATTAAAGTAACATTGTTGCAAAGCATATTTGAAGTCGTCGCATAGTACCTCTTAAGCCATTTGTTGTTAAATTAAAGCGAAAAAAAATACGTATCCAATATTTTTCTATTATCTGACTGACGGACTAAATCGAATCTTTTTTTTAACCCATTCGTTATACCTATTGGCTAACAGCACTTATAATATTAAAAATTCATATTTGTCATTAATTAAAAGGGTGTTTTTTGCAACGACTTCTTTGTTTTTTTGTAATGAATATGGGCGACTCTGGCCACATTTTTTTAATAAATGTGATGTTAGCCAATTTTGATTTCTGGCCCTTATATTTATAATGTGTTCATAACACATACATGTCTCCTAAGGGATTTTCATCACAACCTTTTGCTCTGATCCAGAACCACTATCTATCAAATTAAATTAGTCAATATAAACACCAGATTACAATAAAAAAAACATTTATTTTTGTTACAATTAAGTGCCATGGATAAATTACATAATACAGGTGTCACAAAATCATCATGTTAATCACAATAGAAAATTTAAGATAAGATTTTGACTATGAATCAGACTAAAAATACTTTAGTCTGATTCATAGTCAAAATCTGTTTCTAAATATTCTACACCTGATAACAATGACAAGGAATCATCAGAGTCACTCTCTTCACTACTGTCTGCACCAACAGATATAATAAATTTTTCAAGTTCGTTTTCAACAATGCCATCTTTTAATTTGTAATCATTTTCGACATTTAAAACATGATCAGTGTATTTCTTCCAGTCACTAGGGGTAATTAAGTTAAAACACTCTATTATTAAGTTTTCCATTTCCTTTCCTGGTATTCCAATGTTTCTGCTTGCAATTTTTCTTTTTGCTTGACTCCAAACCATCTCTATTGGGTTTAAGTCACAATGATACGGTGGCAGCAATAAAAGTTCATGATTATGTTCTTTTAAAATCTCTTCAGCTTCATATACAGGCAATGTTTTCTTATCATTAACCAAACACATTAACTCTGCCTTTGTCTGATATTCCTCAAAATGTATTCCATTATTTACAAGCCATTTACGGATATCTGCTTTGGTATTAGACATTATAGGCGGTTTATTGATTTGTTTTATATGGTAGCTGGCATTATCCATAACAATTACACTGGGCTTACTTAAATTTGGTATTAATTTTTCTCTGACCCATTTCATAAAGTTCGATGAGTTCATATCATCATGATAATCAGCAGATTTGGATTTACTACTGAACACTAATAATGCACCAGGCACAAAACCTTCCTCAGATCCAGCATGCACAACAATATGCCGTTTTCCAGAGGATATCTTTGTAGTGACACCAGTTGTTGAAGGTCCTTGCCAAGACTTTTTAACTTTATAATTCTGATGTACATAAGTTTCATCAAGGTACACAATTTGCTTTCCTTCGTTTCGTTTTATATTTATTTCTCTCAAATACTTGTGCCTCCATGCAGAAATCTGGTATTTTTCTATAAGCATAGAACGTTCATTTTCATTGCTTTTAAAAGAAAATCCATTCTTAAGCATAATTTTTCGTAAAGTCTCACGGCTACCACTGAATCCTATTGCATCTTTTAATTCATTGTGAAGGCTTCTTAATGTTGGAACAATTTTTTTCACACAGTAAAATTCATTTACTTTATTCCGAATTGCACTTAAATCAAAATTATCTAAAGCAGACACTGTTGGTTGATGAGGTCGTTTTTTCCCAGGAGTGTCCCATTTTCCTTTATTAATTAATGCTTCATTTTTTATCCTTCTTAGTGTCCTTATACTTACATCTATAAAAGATTAAACACTTTGAAACAAAGATATGTTAAATGTATTTAAAAGCAAATAATGATAGACACATACATCAAAATAATTTAAATACCTATTCAACTATGAATGCAATTTATGTTTAATTTAGTTAAGTTTATGTGCATATTTAGCATGTATAACAATTACATGGTTTGATTAGTTTCATGAATTCTGTGAATTTCCTTGTTAAACAAAACATTCTTATGACATCATTGGATGTCAACAATAAAAACCAATACATCATAAAAAACCTATGTAAATATTATAGGAATACTATCAATCTATCTTAAATCAAAACAAGAAAAGAGACCTGTCATTGAAGAAATTTTTTGTAAGTACTGCGTTTCCGAATTCAGCATTTCTTGTTTTTCTAAAGTTTTTATTGCATTTATCTCCTCCATTATTGGTTGAATATCACCATCACAGTTATCTGAAATAGAGCAATATTTTATAAAAAATATCTGTTTAGTTAATTACAGAAAATTAAAACGAAAGTATCAAAATTATAATACAAAACTAACCTAAAAAAGATACAACTTTATCTAATCGTTGTAATTTCTCCATGAAATTTTTATTTAATTCAGTTTTCACTTCAGTAAACTTGTCAATCATGATGGAAAGAAGTTTCCTCGATGAACTTTTTATCGGCTTCGACATAATTTTAACCAAAAACACAAGTTCAAATTCGCAAAAACAACAAAATTCAATATTCTTGAATTGTCTAACGTAGTGTCAAACTGACAGTTCTATGTTGTTGCCATATGAAAACGGAAAAATAGGTGGTGTCACGTTTCGCTTGCCAAACTCTAGTAATGCTCACAAAATTAAAACGCACGATAGTATAAAACGCCTTAACGTTTTTATCAGGCAAAATTACTTAGGCAAGCATGCAGCACGCAAGTAAGCATGCAGCACGCATGGCTTCTGTCACGGCTCCGGCGCTGCGGGGCTTCGGTGGTCCCACGCGAGCTTATCGTCGCAGATGGTTTCCGCCCACCGCCGCGGCTGAGGCTGGCCGGCGAAGCCTCTAGGAGTCGGACAAACAAGATTACGTGATGTCAGTTT